AACATGCCAATCCGTGGTTGGATTTCCGACACGGCTAATCGTAAATCATCTTATACTGTCAATAAGCGTGACTGATACTCGAGCCAACTCTGCTCTAACTGTCGACTAGCAGTGGGAGTCAGATTGCCCCCTAGTGGATGGCTAAAGATTTGCTAACTCATATTCATAAATCCTCAAGGGAATGTCTCTGAATTAACTGATGCTCGCGCCCCCCTTGACAGGTGTGCCCCACAAGTTGAAAACCCCTGCTTCATACTACACTTCACCCCATTCACACAGTTGCCAACTGCTAATCACACAATCATCCCCACTCACACACTGAAGGCACAGCCCAAGTACAATTCGACATGTGGGCTGGGGGAAGCCACGATCAAACAGCCGACCTTCCAATTGGTGGATGACCCGCTTTACCACTAAGCCCTGTCTATACATACACTCACCAAGCACTTTATTTGGAACACCATGAGTAGGGCCTCCCTTTGCCAAAATATCATGGATATGGGAGACACCATCTTGTGCTGGTGACATCATTTGAAGCCAAACTCTGCATAGTAGTGATCAGGGTTACAGTCGTGGTATCGAGGTTCTGCCCAAACACCTAGCCGACTCGGTCCTGAGCAGGTAGAGCTTTCAATCATGACGTGAAACCCCGTATTTACAGCATCAAATAACTAATTATAATTGAACCTATCAGAAAAATTACATGAAAATGACTCAATGCTTCACTTGAGCGTACATTAGCGTCATAAGAATTACTGCAGACAGCCACCAGGGGGCGATCAAGATGCTTTTTTCACTTTTGTGGACCTGTCATGTCCTCCATCTTTACAGTCTATGTTGGTGACCTGTATCTGCATGATTTTATACATTGCACTGCTGCCCCATGATTGGCTGATTGCATGAATAAGGAGGTGTACAGGTGTTCCTGATAGATATAGCTAAGTTATATATGTGCTTGATGAGTGTACACACTGAGTACTTCATACCAGGGGTGGTTTCTCCATTAAGGCGATTGGGCGACATTTTCTTTTCTGATCTGGGTGGCATCACCAGCTTTTTTACACGGTCACCGAAACGCACAACTATTCTCGACCAGATTGTTGCACGATGGCTGCCAAGAGCCTCATCCACAAGACAGAACTTCAATAGCAGAATCGTGAACACCGTATACGAGAACCTAGATTATCTCAAAGAGTGTTTCAGATCTATTGTGACTACCGGTTCATTTGATAGCACCACAGTGAGGGAGGCATCTGGCTTCCTGAGGATGCTGCAGGATGAAGACTTCCAGTTTTTTCTGCAACTGTTTCATCAAATAATGACCCATGTTGACATGATGTACCAGCAGCTGCAGAAGAAGGACATTGAAGCAGTCTTCATCAAATAATCCCTCCAGAACTTCACAATGAAAGTGCAGACCATAAGGTTAGATCACATAACATTGTTCATACCTTCTCTATATAGAACCATGTCATTTCATAATGTATGCTATATGGTAACAAGATTTAGAAACTTCAATGTGGGAAACTAATTTAGTCATCTGCATCTTTTGAAATTGTAGTTACCGTGTGTGTGTAACAACATTAAGCCAGAAATGTTTATATTTTACCAGCTATTGTCAGAAAAAAAATATAAAACAGACTATTTTTTTTTCTGTTTTTCTAGGACACGAGTTGCAGGTATTGTCAATGACAAACAGTTTTATTCATATACAAACACTGTTGATCGGTCTGCTTTCAGGGAGCTAGAGATAGATGCGGCTTTCAAATGCTCGCGTGTGCTTCTGAGTAAGCGCTTAGTGAAAGTGTAGCCAATCACAGTCATATCTGCTGAGTGTGTGAACAAATGCTGGTATTGTCACATTTTTAAAAGTAGATACTTCTGACAACCCTAATTTATTATAATAAACAATTATTTTTATTACCAAAATATCACAATCAAGACACAAGACACAATCCTGAACCACACCAAAGAAGGGTTCTCATTCACTGACAACCTTGTGAGTGCCACGCTGCTACAAGGAGAGAGGTTTGAACAGCATTGCCATACGTTCCCTGTTGAGGCTCTGAACATCACTGTCAGGGGATACCCCATGCTGAAAAATCCTCTGAAATGTAATGGGACAGGAACGTCTGAATGCACTGGCCATGCTTTCCATGGAGAGGGAACTAGTCAGGAAAATGCCTGCTTTCAACGAGAGAGTAATTGATCGCTTTGCTGCTTTGAAAGAGAGGCGAGCAAAATTTT